GACATGAACCACAGTCAGTCATTTGGGAGTCCAGCACCTTAACCACTACCTGCTGGCCCCAATTTGTTCACCTTTTTGATTATTATTAAGATGAAGTGGCAACTTCCAAACTCTTTACATGTTGTAGTGGAAGCTGAAAATCTTCATTTCTGAAGGATAGTATTGCTGTATTCACTGATTGATGGGCTTTTTTTTTATTTATTTGTTTCACTACTTTAACTATGTCATCTCACTGCCTCTGGACTCCATTATCTCTGATAAGAAATTGGTTGTTAATATTGTGGAAGACGTCTTTTATGTGTTGAGTCACTTCATTCTGGCTTTCAAGATTCTCTCTTTCTCCTTGTCTTTTGAGAGTTTGATTAGAATGTGTCTCAGTGTAGATCTTTTTGAATTTATCCTACTTGCCTTGATTAGCTTCTTGAATATGTAGACTCATATCTTTGGTCAAAATAGAGAAGTTCACTGAATAATTACGATTGACCTATCAACTGTACCGATTCTTCTGCCTTTTAAAATGTGTCATTGAACCCCTCTAGTCAGTGTTTCATTTCAACGATTATACTTTTCAGATTCAGAATTTCTATTTGATTCCTTTTTATAATAATTTCTTTCCCTTTATTGATATTCCCTATTTGTTGAGACATCATTCCTCTGGTTTCATTTGGTTCTTTGTATGTGGTTTCTTTGTTCTCTTTAACCATATTAACATTGTAAATCTAAAGTCTTTGTCTAGTAAGTCCAGTGACTATACTTTGTGTATATTTTGTTAACTTTTCTTCTTTTCCTGTGAATGGACCATTTTGCTTTTTTTTTTTTCCATGCCTTATAATTGTTTTTTGGTTAAAAACTAGACATATAGATAGTCAATTTGAATATTCTGGAAATCAGAACACCTCATGATTTTTACTGTTGTTTATTGTGGGTTATTTCTTGCATGTTTACTTTTCTGAACTACTTTCGTGAAGTCTAATCTTTGTTAAGTATGGTCATATGGTCATATGTTTTCCATTAGCTGAGGGTTTGGTTAGTGTTATGACAGAGTTCCTTTAGATGTCTGGAGTCTAAAAATTTGAAAAAAAAAAAAAAAGAAAGAAAATGACTCTTCCAATCTCTGCATATTGGCTCTGCGTTGAGGCAGGCCATTGATAACTCTGTTTTATATTTTACTTTTTACATGTATGGAGCCTGAAAGCCAGCCAAAGGTAAAAGCTTAGGATCTTCTCAGGTCTTTTCAAGCATGTGTCTTGTCCTAGGAGTGCATGTGACTTTATTGATCCCTGGTATGCATAGGAGCGTTTTAAAATCCTTCCTACACACATCTTTTTCAATCTCTTTTCCCCCAGGCTTCTAGGTCTGTCTATTGCTTGTCTCAAATGTTGTCCCTTGCCCTAGAGTGATGTAGTCAATACCTGAGTCTTTAAATGTTTTCAATAACAGCCTCCTTGGGAGCCATCTGAGTCCTGCAAACATTTCCATGCCTTATAATTGTTTTTTGGTTAAAAACTAGACATATAGATAGTCAATTTGAATATTCTGGAAATCAGAACACCTCATGATTTTTACTGTTGTTTATTGTGGGTTATTTCTTGCATGTTTACTTTTCTGAACTACTTTCGTGAAGTCTAATCTTTGTTAAGTATGGTGATATGGTCATATGTTTTCCAATAGCTGAGGGTTTGGTTAGTGTTATGACAGAGTTCCTTTAGATGTCTGGAGTCTAAAAATTTGAAAAAAAAAAAAAAAGAAAGAAAATGACTCTTCCAATCTCTGCATATTGGCTCTGCGTTGAGGCAGGCCATTGATAACTCTGTTTTATATTTTACTTTTTACATGTATGGAGCCTGAAAGCCAGCCAAAGGTAAAAGCTTAGGATCTTCTCAGGTCTTTTCAAGCATGTGTCTTGTCCTAGGAGTGCATGTGACTTTATTGATCCCTGGTATGCATAGGAGCGTTTTAAAATCCTTCCTACACACATCTTTTTCAATCTCTTTTCCCCCAGGCTTCTAGGTCTGTCTATTGCTTGTCTCAAATGTTGTCCCTTGCCCTAGAGTGATGTAGTCAATACCTGAGTCTTTAAATGTTTTCAATAACAGCCTCCTTGGGAGCCATCTGAGTCCTGCAAACATTTGGAGTCAGATGAAACAAAGGACAACCTTTGTGTCAGTTCTTAAGGGAGCTTCCAGACAGGTTGAGGCTCATTCCATAATTCTTTGAGAGTAAGATCTGTATTGCTCCCTCTGGCACTAGTAGCTTGTACCAAGAGTGCCAGCTACTATCTTCATAGCTACTGCATGGAGGATTGTAAACAGGTGATGTAAAACACCACAGCACTCTCTTACCACAAAGCAGTATCTTCTTTATTTATCAAGTCTTCCCTTTATTGTAAGTTTTTTTCCCCCTATTTTCCAGAGTTCTTCAAAAGCTGATTCTGACAGCTTTTCTGGTTCATTGACTGCTTTTCAGGAGGAATGTAGATCTGGTGTGTCCAATTCCATTACTTTTAATCACTGATACTCCCTAACTAAAAAAATGGTATACTAGCCAAAACAGTTATGACCGCTACGTACAGCCTGAAGACTGAATTAGCTCCCTAATTTCCAAATGGGCAGTTTTTAAGGATAGCAGAGGGAACTGGTTAGAAGAAGGGATTAAGGAATTCTTTTTCAAGCTGTGTTTGTAAAGCACATTACATACATTTGAGAAAATCCCAATTGTCAATCTCATGTATGTATGAACACTGATGGAAATTTTGGAGGAAGATTTTAAAACCTTCCTCCTGTCTGCTGAAATGGCCAGGAAGCTGCCTCTGAGACTACAAGTCAGAGGAGGAATGATGAACCACCAACAGTGCTGCCTTCTTCTTCTTTTTTTTTTTTTAGCCATTCATTTCTTTTTATTTACAGTTTGTGTTCAATGCCAATCAATTTCATAGCATGAGAAGTTACTAAGAATCAAAGCATAAATATACAAACACAATATACAGTCCAAAATAGATGGGACAGCATTCAGGTATGAAGCAAAGGGGAATGTTCATTCACACACACAGTCGCTTCAATCTACTCAATCTGCTTCTTCTCAGGTATGTTTCTAAAGATGAGGGGAAATGACTTGGTGGCCATTAGATACTGGAACAGAACCTAAGCATCCATGTGTGACCATGTGAACAAAATACTTCAGGGGTGTGTAGTTTTAAAAAGGTTTTTGTGTTGAGGCTGCTGGAAAAGATTTTCCAGAATCTAGCTCACTTGAGGTTCTATCTAAAAATATTGACTGATAACAGAAAGTGTTCCAAATGTGGCTATTCTTTAAACCTATCCATAGCCTATCCATAGGTTTAAAAAAAAAAAGTATTTACAGAAAGAGTATAAAAGTTTCTGTGAATTTTAAGCAAGTTAGCCTCCATTCTTCACTTCCCAAATACCTGCTTTACAGTTTTGGATCCTTCACGTATTTATCTTTTTAATTTCAAAATTTGTAATTCTACCTTCAAAACATCATTTTTAATGTAAAAAATGCAGAAATTCAACATTTGCAGAAATAAAAAGCAGCATTTTTAAATTAGTTGAGGTCAATGCAATTTTACTCTTTTAAAATAGTTTAACTAAAAAAAAAAACAGTTTAAATAAATGAAC